GCGTTTTGTTCAAGCATGTGTGCAGGTACATCTACTTGGCATCCGTATCTGACTGAGCCACGGCGTGCGAGGCCTGACGCTAAGCCGACATGACAGAGGCAAATAATGTCTGCTCCCGTTATCTTCTCTTCCCCCTCGGCCCCGCGAGGAACCTTTTTAAAGAGCCGCGCGCGGATGAAAAGACGCGGCGCGTGGAGAAAGTGCACGTGCATCGTGTTAAATACGCGTTTGCAAAATTGTGAATCAAAGTGCACGTCACGAGCAAAAACATACATCCAACTTTTACCTATYTGAAATTAGAAGTAGGCACAAAAAAAGAAGTTTGCACAGAAATGCATCCACAAAAACACTGTAAAGTAGTTATACGTATGTTATAATCATGTCAGCTCCAATTAATTTCTTGGCAAATTCATACATTCCATATGGTTTATGACCCACTTCCCATGCTGCGAATATGACCTAATTTACCATAAATCTACATTTTCCCTTCTTGATCTCTTAATTAAGTACTATATTCCAGATGTGAAGACATAAACCGAAATATTGCAGAACAATTTTTATATAAGAATGTTTTAATTTCACGTAGCCTTTTTTAAATGGTCAAAGGTTTCACAATGCCTACTGTAATCTGACTCAAACGCATCTACAGTTCATGTATTATTTATCCTACAGTATGAACAATTACTTTAAGTGATGTTGTGTTTTGTCTAAGGAGACCTGAAAACTTAAGTTGATCTCAGAGGATCTGACCCCATCTCTTAATGCACTAGACCTACAATAATCTACATAACACCCACACTGAACCTGCACTTTTAATGCTTGGTTTGTTTCGTTTTGTTTACACAAGCAACATTGTGATTTTTTTTACTATACTGAGAACCAAAAGTGTTGAACATACTCATTATCACAGAAGCTAAGTAGTACAGAATATTTTATTAATGTTTGTCTAAAAGTGCAAATATACAATACTTTCTAAAATATGTGTGATTGTTTCTAAAAAAAAATTAAATCAGAAAGTGCAACAGAGCAACCTTCATGTTCACCTGATTAAATCAGAATCAGAGCTTGTCTATCTTTTGAGGCTGGAAAACATCTTGTTGYCACATTTTTGCCCAGCTTAGATGATGGAGATGTGATTTCTATGCACACATCTTCTCACTGGTTGAGCCTTGTGTTTTATCACACGTCTCAGAGCCCTTAGCCTCCACTGTCATCTGTATACCAGCGATGGATGGTCTGCCTTACCCACCTGCAGATTTGTTCATTGGCATATTCTTGTTTACAAAGCAATATCAATAAGAAAAATACAGGAAGTCATTTTCTGCGCTCGGATGAGTTTATTTTATTAACAGTACCTAAGGTTCACAGTGATTATGGCGAAAGCTCCTTCAACTTTGCTGCTCCCTCAGTCTGGTATCTACTGCAGAAAGACTTGAAGTTGAAGGAGTTGGTCTCATAATGTTTTTAGGGCCATTCTTAATCAGTTTGTACTTAAAAGGGGCAATATCAACTAAAGTAAAATCAACTTTTTTGAGTTTTATATCRTGTTATAATGTTATACTCTCATAAAAAAACATGCCCAAAGCCTTGCTTTGACTCATTCATGCATGTTTGAGAAATCCTGCAGCGTTTTTAGGMAGCCATGCTGAGGAGCAAAACGACAGGTGGGGACCAGAAACGCCCCTGGGACGTGTCTTTAAGCCCAACTTCCTCATCACGAAGCACACCTCCCCACCCCCTCTCGGCAGTAACAGAGCAAAAGTGAAAGTGAAACTTAAGCTGTCTGCTGAGATCCACTACTTCTCACTCAGTGAAGCTCTTTTCAGATTCAAAATACCTTTTGAGGAAATGCATTTTCAGATGCCAAGTAAACTGCATCATAGCGCACGCGTGAAACAACACACCCTTGCGCACGTGACCCCCACCCCACCCCGAAATTGAAGGGACAGAAGCAGAAGGCGGTTCTTAAAGAGACAGAGGCCAATTTCAAGGCGTTTAGAAGAGGAAGTGATGAGAAGATAAGTTTATTTTCTATTTAAACATAAAAACAGCATTTTAACAACAACTAAAAGTGACATAGATACTTTATTATGGTATAGTTTTTAAATATATGCCTGAGAAACACATAATATTGGCCCTTTAAGACATTTATGTTTGTAAATGTTTTAACTGATTTTGTACTCTATTTTAGCCCTATCTTACCTTTTATGAGAGTTTCTTGTTTTTCTTGTATTTATCGTGAAGTATTTTAATGTAGTTTAATATCTGTAGTTTTGAATTTTGTAACGTCTGTGTGCTACTGCCGTTCTTGGCCAGGTCTCTCTTGAAAAAGAGATTTTTAATCTCAATGAGATCAACCTGGTTAAATAAAGGTTAAATAAATAAAAATAAAATCCTTAGTATTGTAAWCTTTACATCAGATTAAGATTAACACCGGCATATTTTCACTTACATTGGCACAATTAAGGATCCAGAAGTGAGTTGTTAATGGTGAAGCCACTCCAAACACTCCCAGTTCTAACAAGTCCTTTGCAACCAGATCAATAGAAACTTGTCAGAGTCCTGCACTCGTAGCTAAAATGTCTGTTCCAGTCTCACGCCTGTCAGTCTGCTTTCCTGGCAGTTCAAGGTTATTTCTAACCGAGTTAGTCACCATGACCAATGTGACAAATCTGGCACTGTGCACAGGACTGTGGACTTGCAAAGTGCAAACTGCCGTCAGAAGCAGCAGCAGCACATCCTGGTGTTTCAGGAGACTTCAGTATGAAGGTTTTTCAGAAAGGCTGCACGTTTATTGGAACGCCTTGAATGAACTCACTCAACGAGCTCGTGTTTTTAGGGGTCCTTCCTAACACACGCCACAGCGGGCTGGCCGAAATGATGCCTGCATGTGTGTGCGCCGCTCTCCACCTGTCACCTCGTATCTCTGCCTCCATCAACCTGCTTTCAGCCCAGCAACGAGCCAACCAACCCGTATGAGCCTGTTGCTAGGGCAACAGGCATCCAGGGGATACTTCTTTTGTTTCTAATAACTTTTTTTTTACCTAATTTATCTTTCCATTTCTCCATATATGCAGTTATTATTTTTTCTTTTCTGGTTCCGTTTGCCATTTTCTTTAAACACGTCTGTCTCCTCTCCTGTTTGCTTTCTGACTCACTCTCATTCTGTTTCTCATCTTGTTTCAGTTTCTTGCTCTCTTTAATTAAATCAAGCTAACAAAGGTTACCTTAAAGTAAGATTGGATCTTCTAAAACTAAATTATTTGAAAAGTAATTCAAGCTTGACGGAGGCACTCGTGTAGCTAAAGCTCATTCAGAATCCACAACKGAACGGTTCACCATGTTTCTCATGTTTCTCACGCAAACACACCACAACTTGAAATGACTGCTAGCTGATCCAGCACACTTAGAGAACACAAATTGTGGCTGTCTGCTCAGCTGGCATTTAAAGGTTAAAAGATGATGCTCTGTCAGTCCAATCTGCTCTTCATTGCAGCTTTACTCAGAGAACTCGCGTGCGCGTAAAGCCTGGCAAATACATAACTGTGTTTACTTTGAAACGGTCTTCGCTTATGCAATAAAGAAAACTTGCTTAGCCAACTTTCCCTCACAATGCTGCAACTCCTTAAAGGGGGTTCATTTTTTGTGCCTCTGAATTGGTCATGATTTATGATCTGGTGCCCTCTAATGACCAAATAGTATATTTCTCATCAGACTGGCTGGAGCATAATACTTTCAGAGAGAAAACATTTCCTTTTCAATGAACTTAAAGTGAGAGCTGGTTTGGGTGGTGCTGTGTTATTCTSCTAGTTATGCTTGCACATTAAACAACTCTGCTCTCAGTCATTACATATATAATAGTCTGTGGCTATTGTACATCTATTTTCCAGTACTGGAACACTGCATGAGGCTGTCATGACTGTTTTCTTGTCATTTTTACATGTAGTCACATGACCATGAAATAACATAAAAATGAAAATAAGATACCGCATTTATGTTATTTCAATTTTATAGGGTTGTATGGTAGTTTTATTTTATTTTACTTAATTTTTTAATATTATTATTTTAATTCTATTATTATTGCTACTATTGATAATGTTGCACAGCAATGTGTTGTTTTGTGGACTGATGTATCTGCNGCTGCTTTTACAACTGAATTTCCCCTCTGCGAGACAATAAAGGCTGTTTCTATTCTATTCGATTCGATTCTATTCTATTATAAGAAGCTTAGATTGTTGGAAGACAAAAGCATTTCCTTACTGTTTTTACCTTCTCTATGTTTGAATTAGGGTTGGGCAAAATCGTATTGTATGCAGTTAATCATCAGAAAAACTTTAATTGATCATTTTTTGGCACTTGACAATTAATACAATTAATGCCACCAGGTAGAATGACCGGAGATTTCCCCGGTCAGTCCGCTCAATGCTCCTCTCTGCTTCAAATAGGAAAAACATTTTTTTTTAAATTTCTGTCATTTATTAATCATAACTCAGGTTTTACTTGGTCTGTCGACACAATTTTAAAATTGATATTTAGCTTTAAGTCTGTATTTTTGACACAGTTTGGAACAGATTTTTTACGGAAAGCAAATCTTTCCCACGAGAGTGATTTAAATTAGTCATGTGACTAGGATAGGAGGCATCCAGGGACTCCAGGGGATTAATCATCATATTAATCATTATTGGCTAAATACCACAATTAATCGTGATTAATTTTTTTGCCATTACCGCCCAACCCTAGTTTGAATATGCAGTCACTGTGGTCATTATCTTTGTTCCGTTTTCCTTTCATAAAAACTACATATGACCCGATACTTCTGTGCCTCTTTCCTCTKAAAGTTTGCCTCCACCAATACCAGCAGGAGTCCTCAAGGGCATGACTGATGGCTATAAACTGATTGCATTCTTAGTCCTGTAAMAGACTGGCAAACTGTCAAGAATTTCTGCTGTAATACTGCCTGATCGTCATAAAACGGCGTGTGCGTGTTCAGAGTTGGTCACCTGTGAGGATGTTCTCGGCCACAACTTTGACCTGAACCTCCAGCGAGTGTTTGGACGTGTAGCTGATCTCTGCTGAGACATGGACGACCTCGCCGATGAACACGGGGAACAGAAACTCCGTCTTCTCCACTCGAACCAGGGCCACCCAACAACGGTCCTACAGCGGGAGGAGAAAACGCCAAAACAAAACAAACAGTAACATCAACGAACGAGACGTTTTCTTCAGACATTTCTTGTCAATCTGATTCCGACTGTTCTAGATTTCACCTCTACTCTTTTTTTTTCCATCAATTTTTTTATTGAATATATTATTAAAAAAAGAAAGAAAAAACACAACAACAATAACGAAAACAAAAACATAAGAAACAAACCCATACAATCTCTTCCTTATATACTGAAGCAACGAACGTAAAATTCATGTAGTTTTACAACAATGAGTGAATATATAAAAAAAAAAGGGAAACAAAGGTTAACAATGTATAAAATTATACTTTATGTCTATGCTGCGACTGACTATCCAGTGATCACCAATCAACCATATACAGTTGGTGTCAATTTYATTCCAGGTTATCTGGGAACACCAGTTTTCCAGCATAATCAAGAAACGGGTCCCAAATCATTGAAAATTTAGCCTGAGAACCCTTCAATAGATATCTAATCTTTTCCAGTTTGGCAAAATAGAGAACATCTCTTATCCAGTGATTATACAGAGAAGGTGTATGTGATCTCCATTTCAATAATATCAACCGCCTTGCAAGTAATGTAACAAAGGCAATGAAAAATTTAATCTCCATAGATAATAGCATTGCATTAGGAGTCACTCCGAACAATGCATTGATGGCGTTTGGTGTCAGTCTTTTCCCTGTGATCTCACTTAAAGTTTCAAAAATAGATTGCCAATATGTCGTAAGCATGGGACAGGACCAGAACATATGAGTATGAGTTGCTGCTRCTTGATTACATCGGTCACATGTCGGGTCAACATTTTTGAACATCTTAGAGAGTCTGACCTTAGTTAGATGAGAGCRGTGTAAAATTTTGCATTGCATCAGCCCATGTCTAGCACATACTGAGGAGTGGTGTATTTTTTCAAGAATCTTCTCCCAGTTGTCTTCGGTTAGAGAGATCCCTAACTCTTCCTCCCAGAGAGCTTTAATTGAGGACAAASAGGCCAATTGAAGTGAATGAATCTGAGAGTAAATAAATGAGGTTACACCCTTTAGAGAAGAAACAGGTTTCAAAAGTGTATCAAGGGGGGAGTCAGATGGCTGATAAGRAAATTGAGGAAATCTCTTTGCAACAAAACTACGGACCTGTAAGTATCTAAAAAATTGTTGTTTCGAGAGAGAGTATTTTTTTGATAGCTGGTCAAATGATGCAAAGTTATTAATATATACTGTAGATCCTTAAATGTTTTTATTCCCTTTTCAGCCCAGGCTACAAAAATCCATTAAGGATGGAGGAAAGAAATGATTACATGCCACAGGTGCATGAATTGAATTTGTCTGAAACCCAAAATAACGTCTAAATTGGTTCCAAATTTTCACTGTCATCTTAACAATCCCGTTTTTTGTATAATCTTTGAGTGAGGATTTAATGGGAGAGTACATTAAAGCTGAGAGAGTGACTGGTATACAAGAAGCTTGTTCCATACTTACCCAGGCAGACGAGGATAGTTGGGAACCAGAGTGTAGCCAAAATCGAATTCTTTTAAGATTAGCTGCCCACTGCCCAGTAATATAACTTCAGATTGGGCAAACCCATACCTCCTAAATTCTTTGGTCTTTGCAGAAACTTTTTTGATAATTTGGAGGTTTTCTTGTTCCAAATGAAATTCAGAATGATATTATCTAACTTAGAAAATAATTTTTGTGGTAAAAAAATTGGTATACATTGAAACCGATAATGTAGCCTTGGGAGGAGATTCATCTTAATACAATTAATCCGAGCAGCTAATGTCAAATTTAGAATTGACCAACGATCAATRTCTGTTTGAATCTGGGCTAGAAGGGAAACAAAGTTAGCTTGGTAGAGATCTTTTAATTTGGAAGTAACCTGAACCCCAAGATATTTTAGATCATGTTGGACAATCTTAAATGATTGAGTCTTAAGTGGATATTCTTGTGCTGCTTTATTAAGAGGGAGAAGCTCACTTTTGCTTAGATTTAATTTGTAACCAGATATTGATCCAAATAATTGAAAAATAGAGAGTGCGGCCGGAACTGATATTGAAAAGTCGGTGACAAATAAAAGAAGATCATCTGCATATAATAATACTTTCTGTTCGTGTCCATAACATGTAATGCCCTTAATTTGCAAATTGCTTCGGAGTGCAATGGAAAGAGGTTCAATAGCTAAAGCAAATAGAARGGGACTTAAAGGACATCCTTGGCGTGTAGAGCGATAAAGAGGGAAGTAAGATGAGTAATTATTATTTGTTCTTACTGAGGCTGAGGGTGAGGAGTATAGGAGCTTCACCCAAGAAATAAAATTGTCCTTAAAGCCAAACTTCTCTAAAGTGTAAAATAAATATGCCCATTCAACACGATCAAATGCTTTCTCAGCATCTAATGAGATAATTGCTTGTAGTAAAGTTGTTAGTGGGARATTATAGATAGTAYTAAAGARTYGTCTTAAGTTAAAAAATGAATGCCTGTTTTTAATGAATCCTGTTTGATCTGTAGAAATTATATTTGGTAACACTAATTCCAGACRAAGRGCAAACAACTTGGACAAAAGTTTAAAGTCCACATTTAGTAGGCTAATWGGTCTGTATGACGAGCWACTAAGACGATCTTTATCTTTTTTTAATATGAGAGAGATTGATGCCTGGTTTAATGTTGGTGGTAATTTACCAGTCATAAAGGATTTGTTGAACATTTCAAGCAAAACTGGGATGAGTTTGTTTTGAAAGCACCTATAAAACTCCACCRGAAAGCCATCTGGCCCGGGACAATTGCCAGATTGCATTGTTTTTAGGGCAGTAAGAAGTTCTGCTGTGGTTATCGGGTTTTCTAATTCTTTTGCTGTATTCCTATTGACTTGTGGGATTTCCAACTGGGAGAAAAAAGCTATCGAAGTCCTCTTTTCCTGCATTTGTTTCTGATGAGTATAAGGAGGCATAGTAATTTTTAAATTCCATATTGATCATTTGTGGGTCTATTGTTGTGCCTGTGGATGTGGCAATTTTTGGAATCTGATGAGATGAGGCAGTCTGCCGTAGTTGGTGTGCTAACAGCTTGCCAGCTTTGTCGCCCTGTTCAAAATATACACTATTTGTTTTAAGTAGCAATTCAACAGCCTGATCTGCAGCTAGCATGTCAAACTCTGATTGTGTCATAAGGCGTTGTTTATAAATATCAGAAGTTGGAGATGTAGCTTATATAGTGTCCAACTGAGTGATACGATTGGATAGAGAAACTAATCTTTGTTTTATTTCCCTTCTGTCATGGCTCATGTAGGAAATAATTTGACCCCTAATATATAATCTTTTAACATTTCCCATAAAACTGAGACGGAAATGTCAGGGGTTCTGTTAGTTTGCAAAAACTCATCAATTTGATTWGAGATCATTTCTAMAAACAGCTCATCTGACAATAAGCRCGTATTAAATCGCCAAGGACAAYGTGGTCTGGTAAAACCTTGAAACCTGATGTTAAGCACAACTGGAGAATGGTCTGAAATGACAATTGATTCATAGGAGCAKGAGGAGGAATTTAAACATGAAAGAAGCCTATTGTCTACTAAAAAGTAGTCAATCCGAGTGAATGTATGATGTATAGGAGAAAAAAAGGAATACGCTTTCCCTGTGGGATTAAAGAGAYGCCATGGGTCTGATTCCRACTRTTCTAGAKTTCACCTCTACTCTTTCTTGGAAATCTTCAACRGGTGTTAASGAAGCAGAAATGTTTTCTTTTATYAAACTTTCAAACATACTGGAGGACTTCAGAATATGATGAGAATGCCGTATCAGATGAGATGATGATCAGTGCAAAAGTAGGTTAACGTTCAGCAGATGAGATGTGAAACCATGACAGGTTTAAGGAAAATTATTTTAAATATAGGCTGTGTCCAAACTCGGGCCAGGGGCTGCATCCTTCGAAGGACCCGGCCTACCCAGTCTACGTGGGCTGGGTCCTTTGTCAACTGGGAAGACCGGAAGAAAGTAGCTGTTAATTTGGAGGGTCTAGCCTTCAGCTTTATTCCTGTCCTTACCCCAGTGAATGTCCTATCGCTGTGCAACTGTGACGCTAAACAAAAGCAAAAAATATATTGAAATTAGCGAAAAAATGTATACATTAATAATATAAATATTAGATTAGTTAGAGGCAATACTTGAAGGACTAACAAGGGACTCGCGTATAAGCTTGTTTATTTCGCCACGAGCTCTTTTGATTTCTGACAAGAACATGTCTATGCAAATGAAAAACCCTAACAACACAACTGCTTCAAACTTTCAGTTTTTATAGCGCCAGATTTTTATTTAAAGGGGCAATATTATCTGTTTCTCAAGCATATATTCAAATACTACACCATAATAAAGTATCTATGTCACCTTTAGCTGTTATTAAAATGATGTTTTTTTGTTTAAATAGAAAATAAACTTATCTTCTCATCACTTCCTCTTCTAAACACCTTGAAATTGGCCTCTGTCTCTTTAAGAACCACCTTCTGCTTCTGTCTCGCCCATTTCAGAGCGGGGGGAGGTCGTGCTCGCGAGTCGGGGG